TACTTTTTAGAAATAAACCCTAGAATTTAAAGGACATCATTCTCTACAGATGACCGTGCTCTGTATAAAAAAGCTGCAGAACATAGCAATTCTTTCATCTTCCCAAATTAAGTGCTGCAGAAATTTGTGCAGAGACCCACCTTTACACAAGCTGCAAAGTAGTTTAATAACTGATCTTGCTGCTGTTATTTGAGCTAGCAGTCATATTGCTCTGGGGTTATGCTGGAGAAAGAAAGCCTCTGCCTCTTTGTGCTCAAGATAACCTTTAAATGGACCAGTCTTCTTGTAAAACCTAGCAGAATAACCCCTAGATCTCAAAAACATCCAGTTATACATATAAATTATATATATTTATACATACACACACACACACACACACAATCACAACGATCACGTCTCCTGTCTGGACAACTCTGATGAGGGTATGTCTTTACTGATCAATTTATCACCATAGGCTTTCCATAACACATTGACCCACCTCCTCACAAGAGGGATAACACAAGTACAATGTGAGAGAAACAGGTACTTCAAAAGTATTATTCACCTTATTGTAAAGTAGTTGTTTTTGCAAACATACCTCAGCCTTTCTTTATATATTATTTAGATGTCAAGACTACATGACTACAAGTGAGTCTAGAGAGAAGACATTTGGAAGATTCTTAAGCTCCTTCTTTGACTCACAGAAATAAAACTAGTAAGATCAGCAATGAAATATCTTTGCATTGCTACTAACTGAAACTGTTCCTCTCATGAGAAAGATTTTCAAGTCTCTCTTTCTAGTCTTTACATCTTCTTTGCATGGTTTGAGTGTATTGAGAAGAACTTTTGCTTCATCATTCTGACCCTGAAGAAAGAAGATTAGGAAGCAGGAATGACATTATCCAATTCTGGTAATTTGGTATTCTACGTGGTAACCTAAATACCATTCTAGACTCCAATCTCATTTGAAGGTTCAGTTCTTGAATCAAGATTTTAATGAAAATCACCTTACTTCACACTTCATTATGAGTTTTGTAACTCTGAGAACAGTCATAAGGGTAATTTTCAATTTTTACTGTATCTGATTTTGAGCCATTAATAATTTCACAGAATCAAGAATAGAAACCATCATGGAAAGCAGACTGACTGGAAGCCAGTGAAGTCAACCAACTTCTCTGTAAGCTTATACAAATCTAAGTGTGTGGCAAGAAGGCTGTCACATTCTGCATTAAGAGGAATTGCTTCCACTTCCAACTTTTTGTTTAACACTTCTGATTTCAAGTTGTGGTCTTAGCAAAGGAAAGAAATCCAGAATAAATGAAAGGGGGGGAAAAAAACAGTAAAGCAACATCAAGTTTCAATATAAAGTACTATCTTTGTCTAGTAATTGTTTTCCTCTTCTATCATATTTGACTAGGTCAAGAATTTTATAAAGGAAAAAAAATCCAAAGTCTCTGCATTTTTCCAGATAGATGATATTATAACTCAAATCCACTTAAAGGCATTATTCTCATTTGCTTAAGTTTGGAATAGGATACAGTAATTAGAAGGATAACTGCAATATTTACATCTTAATTTTACATAATATTGTTAAGCAAATGATTTTAGGAAACGATTTCGAAGAACACTGCAGTTTCCATAAGTGTGCTACTAACCATAAGATTCTTTTCAAACCATAATACAATAATATCTCCCTAACATATAACGAAAAAACAAAGGGTTTACAACGTTAAGCAGGAGTATTACTATGAGATTTTTTCTTGACAAAATAATGAATTTACGCAATGATTACTCTCCATATCAGCAAACTGTTTGAAAATGTTTTCCTTTTTAAATGGTACCATAATCAATCTAATCCTACTAGCCATGTTTTTGGTATGCTCGTCACCTTTTCTAACCAGAAATTCCTCAGATCCTTCCCCTCAGCATGATGTACCAGTTTTACAGAACAGAGGGTGCAAGACTCGTGACACCTAACCTGAGAATCCCTGCATCCATACATGCTAACACCACTGAATATGTATTTTAAAATGTAGTACCACTGACCTGCATGTGCATAATTGCTGTCAGCAGCAACAGAATATTATTTACTTTGGTTAAGTAAAAAAAGTAAACTTCCATTAAAAATATTGATAACCTGATTTGTTAACTCTATGACATTATCACACTGCTTAAAACTGTTTGCTTTCTACTCCAATTTCAAAACATTCTTCATGACAATTACTAGTCCTGAGGGAAAGAAATCTTGATCGTATGTTATTTAGAATTTGTACAAAATTTATATAGGCAACAAGTTATTTTTGTAGCACAAGAGAAATACTCCATCCTCTTATATAGAAATGTAATCATCTACTTTGGGGAGGTAAAAATTATTTTAAAAACACACAGCAGATTGCAAACCATTTCTCACACTTTTTTAATAAAAAGCATCTATTGCATGCTGAGGCATTCAAAGCATAACATTGATTTCAGTGAGATCATTTACAGTTGTATCTTTGCCTTATTTTATAAATTGATTTAAAATTACATTTGATGCATTTGAGGCTTTGCATAACTCTCTTAGCCTAGTACTAATAAAGCTGTGTAGCTGCTAGTTTGTTAGCATTTTTTTCTTTTTTTTATGCTACAGAAATTTTGTACCTCCAGAGTTGTTATTATTAACAATTATTCAAAGAATAATTAAAGCATTAGAATAATTAGAACACACATATAACCTTTCAAAAGATGTACTTAAAACATTCAGCCCAAGATAAACCAGAATACATACGGTAGTTCAGTTTTAATTTCTGAAAAGGCTTTGATAACTCTGAAAATCTTATGAACTCATATAGTATTTTGAAAATATTATGAAACATGAAGAAAACTGTTACAATGGAACTCCTCTGTCTATATAATGTAGATCAGACAATAAAAATCCCTCTTCATTGTAGATTTCTATGCTATTTTTCTTTTTAAAATCAGTGTGTGGAGTTTGCAGGAAAAGGAAAGTTTTACCATATTTTTTTTTCTGCCCCCCCCCCCCCCCCCCCCTTTTTTTTCTTAATTTAAAACATACAGTAAAAGGTTGACCTGGTCAAAATAGAGCAGCAAAATGCACCTGGAAGCTCTAAGGCCTTCCTAAAATAACAGTGACTTCCTGTATAACCACAGGGAAAACACATCTGTCCGTGGCATGGTGAGCACACTGTGGAGATCCACTGGAGCGACAGACAGAAAGAGCTTTTCTTCACTGGTAAGGAAAGTCAACCTGCAGCGACTGTAGCCTGCCAGCTCCTGCAGAACACGGGTGACGATGAAGGAATACATTATTCCTGTGCTTGCTCACCACTGTGATTTAGTGCTTCTCCCCACTTCGCAGGGATTTGACGCTACCCGTACTGCGCCCAGGACCCTTTGACAAAAGAATTTGCTGGGGACAGATCTGTTTCTGAAATCAGTCCAGTTCATGGAGACTGACGGGTGTGCAACCCAGGTTCAGCTCCCCTCCCTGTAGCTGGGGTCATGCGAAGCAGCTACTGCGGCCAGCATGATTAGTGTGACGACACGATGAGCACAGTAAGGTCCTACCAGAGGCAGGCCCTGACCCAACGACAATGCAGCGCTTCCCACCTCTCCTCCAGTTCATCTTCCCCCTGCTCTAAGGCTTCTCTCTCCCACACACTGTGGCCACCAAACCAGAATCTCCCAAAGAGAAACACTGAACAAAGTCCATTTGGCAACCTCTAGGAAGACAGTTAGAGAGGGTCCTGTGCAGGCCAATTATAAACCAATCTTCATTTAGGAACCATTGAACCAAAATTTAGTTCATCACCCTTCAACCTAACCCTAATTCAAATAAGAGCAGTAGGGCATGAATATACTTTGGACAATCTGCTCTTCTAGGCCACTGGACCAGATATATTACGATCTTCGTGCTGACAGTCTAATTCACATTAGCTTTATCACATCACCAACGTGAAAATAAAGATAAACCAGATGTATTCCAGTAGAAGAAAGCGCGCCTGCTGGCTGAGTGTTATAGGTTAGGCTTTTAGGACACTACACGAGTAACAACTCATATATGGTATTTCTACAGTAAGTCGTATGTTACTCATATGTAACTTGTACAGTAATTTGAATGTTAGTACATGAGTAACAACTTAAATTTGAGAATTTTCTATAATTCAGTTAAAGACTCACAAATGGTTTGAATGTATGTTCTTATGTTAAGGAAGGAGAAAAGGAAGCATGTTTTGCAAGAGATTGGCTAGCTGAGTTCCTGTCTGATTGACAGGAAATTTTTATGCTGGAAAGGTGATGTTGCAGTATTAATTGTTAAGGTGTCTAGAGCCCTTGTATATGCATTTTTTTATTATTATTTAAATATTGAAATAAATAAACCATCTCACTTAAGCTACCAGCATTCAGATTTGTTAGATACTTTCATTAATTTTGATGGTGCTGAACCAAGATATGTTAAAAGACTACAGGAAAATAAGTCAGTCCGTAGTCTCTTGTAACTTCTCAATGTAAATACCTCAGCTGTAAGAAATCAAAAGTTATCTAGACTGCTTTCATTCACCGGGTTTTTAAATAACTAATGGTGTATTAAACTTCCCTGCAGAAGACAGCATTTGGGCTTGGCTAAATAATAATTCAAGATTACAAGAACATGCATTTTTGTACACTAAACTTCAACCCCAGAGGAGATACACTAGAGGCTCAAAAAAAAAGTAAAAAAAAGGCACAAAAAGTATACAATTTCAACTACAGTTACTAACATAGTCTTAATGTTACAAACGTGATATAATATGTTGGTAAATATAAAAATTAATAAAGCCAAGGAGTTAAATACTTTGATATATTTAAGATATGGAGAAATGAATCATCATTATTTAATATCGACTTTAATTTTTAAATGCAAAATTCCACTAAAAAGGCTAGGGCCTAGGGAACTTTAAATTTAAATGATTACGATGACTAGAAACAAAGGAAACAATAAAGTTAGTGGATGTTAAAATGCCTCAAAAAAGCCAACTTACGCAGCAGCTTCTTGTTTTGACAGCCCTTTGATATTCTTCACCAAATAATCATCTATGCCATCTTTGTCTTTGATCAAATGAACCCTAAATTTAAATGAAAAAAATTAAAAGAAACACTGTGAGGTGGTGATATAGACTTTTGCAGCATGTATAATATATTAGCATTGCCAAGTGGAGTTAAACACTGAAATATTGACAAAGTAATGTAATAGACAGATTCTATAAACACATACAAGTTTTTTGTTTGTTTGTTTTTTAATTTTTTGGTCTGTAGCTGTTTTATATCTTTATTTTTGCAAGAATGCAGAGTTGATATCAGCTTTTAAAGACCTGATTATCCAAGAATTCTATCCAAACTGCAGGAAATTTTGTATTAGCTAAATCAATATTAACAGACTAAGCTATCCACATTCAACATTTTCTAAATCACAACCAGTACATTTTTGCATTTACAGTTAAGCACCAGAGTGGTCCGGTCTGTTCAGTATTTAACTCTCCAAATTAAAAAAGGCAAAAAAAACAAACCCAATTCATACATATTTTCCTTTGTGCAATGCAGCTTTACTCATCTTTCTACAATTCGAGCAGTATATTCCAAAAAGTGTCTCATTAATGTAGTAATCTGAAGCCTGCTATATTATTATTACAATAATAATCCTAAAAAACTTCAGGGTCCATGGAACTAATATTAAAATTTGAACTGTATGTCATTTCAGCTTTAATTTCAGCTATCATCTCTTCGCATCTCCACTGTGCTAATCAAACATATGCCCTGCATTCTAAGAAATAGCACACACTTACTGACCAGAAAGTAAATTTAAAGAGAATCTGATATTTCAACAGCAGAGAATTCTACCTTTATAAGTAATATAAATTTATTTAAAAAAAAAAAAAAAAAAGAGAGAGGGAGGGATTAACCAGGGATTATCTGGTTAATCACTCAAAGATAAAAGAAAGTCAACCTTAGCGTTGCACATAAATCTCTCTCCTTTCTCTGTGTTATGCTGCTGAATTTCTTTACAGGGATGAGAGTAAATGCCCCTCATAATGCCCCTTACAGCCCCAAGGATAACAAAAACTGCTGATTATAAAAATTAGTTGTAACAGATGTTACCATAAAATTTAGTATAATCAATATTAAAATTTCACATCAAACAGTTACAGTCTAGGAACATGTACAATGACATTAGGGTAATGAGAAGTTAACTATTGTATATCCTAAAATGATGCAAAATACATTCCAAGATGCTGTACACTTTTATCAGGTAACTGAAAAAAAATTTGGAAAAAAAAATTCTATAGCAAATCACAGAATTACATAAATACAAACTATTCAGTAGACAAAAAATAGCTGATCTTTATACCTTACCACTGCAAAAAGACCTTTTTCACATATTAAGAAGATAGAGACCACTTCATAAACGAAGAACAAAAGTTCCAAAAGTCCCAAACCAAAGTCAATGAGTCAAATAAAACTAGAATACTGAAAAGCCTGGTGCTTTCACCGTGGTTTCTCTATCTCCACAGAAATATTTCAATCATAATAATCAGAAAAAATCCTCCAGAATCATATACACTTTAAAAAAATAAAGGACAACTACTTTCAAGAAGAAAAATACGCAAGATCATAAACTTTCAAATCAATTACAGCTTATATAATATCTACACTATCCTGTGTTGGACTCACGAGATTACACAGTCAAGCAGCATAAAGAATTTAACAGAAATTACTGAATTACTGAAATAGTAAATACTTATTGCAAACCCTGGCTGATAGTATCAGTGATGTTAATGCTCAAGAAATTAGGCAACGTAGATTACAGTAGAAATTTCTCTCACTTCAATTATTATTCATAATGGCTTGTTATGTGCAATAGGAATTAAAAATAAGAAAATGATTTAATGTGAAAAATAGATACTGTGAGTTAGAATGGGCAGTGTTTCATAACAGAGAAACAAGGTAAAGACAACACTGTAAGACACACTGTTTTTCTTCTTCCAGAAGTTGTCACTTGCTTTTCCTAACTTATGTCAGCCTTACTTCCCCAGTGCTCCCATGATGACTCATACTACACTTCATAAATAGCTTATCTCACTATTTTCCTCACCTGTAAGTTGGATTCTATTTAATTTGAAATAATTCTCAACAAAAACAAATACATTTTAATCCAATGGGGAGATATAAAGATATAACCCCCGGTTAGCATTTAGCACCCATAACTGTCTCTCTTATACAGGAAAAAAAAGCAAATGATTTTTGCTAGACATAGATTTAATGATAAACTATGATACAGAGCATGAAGGACAAACGTAAACTGATTCTCTTAACTTCTGATTCCCACTCCATACTCTGTTTACATAGACCCAGGTTTTCTCAACATTCCCTGCTAAATAAACAGCAAAACTTGTCTTGCTCTAATCAACAGAGGTCTACAGCATGGTTCAGGCCATTACAGTCTCACATCTCTTTTTTGCAGGTGTATACAACTTCTCTGAGAACGATCTTCTGGAATATCAAGCTCCGCAAGCAAAAGAAAGAAAGAAAATAGTTCCAGGACAAATTTTTCAGCACTGTAATTACCAGAAAATAAGGTGGCATCATTGCACCTTCTTATTTTATCAAAGTGCAAGATGATGCCTATCAGTATGGGCCCCTCAGAAAGGCTGGGGCCAAGGATACCTTGTTACTTGATCCATGAGGCTTTTAAGCATAGACCAGTAACTCCTGAATTCTGACATGCTCTAGGCCTTCGAGCACAAGGGCTATGGAAAATACAAGAACTCAAAACAAAAACACACTCTGAAATCAAGGCAATTCCAGAAAAACTAGCATAAATTTTCAGGGTTACAATGAATATACTTGTTCTATTAAGTAGGGAGGCAGAGCAGTTACTGCGGAACCAGTGCTCATCTACAGAGACAAAAGTGTTTGGATGCAAAAAAAGGTGAGGAGAACTAAGTGCAACTGACTGGGTAGCCATGCAGGTGTGCACAGAGGAAAATGGCTTGGAAAAACTCTGCTATATTTCAGCTTAATCCTTGCAGTTTTTAAGTGCAGTATATTTTTTTCCCAAGTAACTTCCTATAGTTCTTGAAAGGGTTTTGGGGAAAAAAAAAAAAAGGATGAGTTATCTACCTTGCACATAATATATTCCCCCCCCCCTTTTTTTTTCAACATAACTTTAAAAAGTGAGCATTTCCTTGCCTTGATATTTTTCATTTTTAAATATTGCAGCAAACACATTTTTACCCCCTTGGGACAGCTGAAGCTTGGAATAGCTGAAGCTATTCATAGTAAAAACATTACTCCACAAGAAAAGAGGCACCTACCTTGCAAATTCTAATGCTGGGCAAACTGTTTGCTCTATGAAGGCAGGATGCACATGTGGCCTCTGTACGATCAGTGGAGGCAAAATATTCATTTTGTCTAAAGGAAACAAACAAAATTCACATTATTTGAAATCTTATCTTCACCACGATCCAATTATTTATCCTTCCCCGATGATTCCCAGTAGACTCCTTTGCACTTCCACTGCATCATGTGCAAAATTGGGCTCCAGTTCCACATCGACCTTTTCAGTCCTCAGCATTACTCACTAGGATACAATACACGGCAACGGTTATGATATTCTTTTCAATAACTTCCTTGATTTCGTCTGGTTGCTCTTGATTTGCAGGGTGGTAAGAATGAGGCTTGCATGTGATTCTGTATGCTTTCCCAAGCTATTGAGGTCTCAAGTATAAATAGTTTTTTTTATTATTAAATTAATAAATAAAGCAAAGAAATGACTGATCATGTGGTGCAACAACAGGCATTATATTAACATTCAAAATAATAATTGTAATAATAACAATGATTTTAAAAAAATCTAAGTAGTGCTGTACTTCTAACAGTATTTTAGTTAGAAATAAAGCAGAAAAGCCTGCTGTTATGCAGAATAGCCTAGCTTGTCATTTTGAAACACATAAATGCTACTAAGACTTTTTTGTCATATAGAGCTACTGTGTTTTTCCCCAAGTATTCAGTCTACACTTCGTACCATTTGAGTTTTAGCTGCCAGTTCCTTCATTTTGCATGTCTGTGATCTGAGGACGTTAGCAGCAGGTGCACCCTTACTTTTAAATTTGGTTTAATGTAGGTATTGCATGCCCTGCTGGTAGGCCTCAAGGCACAAACTTTTAATAGGGACGGGAAAACAGAATAAAAAAAGTGGAGGGGGAGGTTAACTATTTGTTACTTTTAGAAAAGGAAATTTATTTTGCAGGAATGATTGATACCAATCAATTTGATACTGAACTACATTGAAAGGCAAACACAGTATCTTATATGTTAGTATATTTAACACTAATGGTAACATTTGCTGCAGAAGAGAAAATATTACCTATAAATAAGTCACTTCACAACTGGAGTCAACATTTTTATGCAAATGTGTCACAGAAAAAAAAATAGAAGGCAACAGGTAATTAATCGCTACCAAAGATTATACCTATTATAGAGAATGACCAGTTTGTATCCAGAAGCAATATAGAAAAGGAATTAACTTCTTTGGAAGATGCTGTTCAACAAGAAAGGGTAATAGAAGTTAGGCACAAAGGCAAGACACAAGCTGCAAAACCATCTGCGAGCGTCTTGCTGCGAAAGCTTCAGCACAGCACGCGCCAGGTTCCCCCACACAGCAAGCGAGCACGCCGAGCCACACACCTGTGCACAGGCACTAGGCACACGCGCAGGATCCTCCCGGCCAGAGCCTTACAAAGATCAAAACTACCCCCCTGGCTTCTATTTCACAGCTGAAGTTCGCTTCGGTTGAATAACTACTTCATTTTGATTTTGCAGGTGGAGGGCTGTTCCGCATCGACGTGGATGGCGTTTCCCTTGCTTGCCTGCGCACTCACAGCAGCCCGCGCGCACCACGGGCAGCAGCCCTCGCGCGCAGCTCACCGGCCACGAGCAGCGCCGAGCAACCACCACCTGCGCGCGCCCAACGGCCATTTAACCGCCACCTAACGGTCGCCTGGCGTGCCCAACGGCCGCTCAACCGCCGCCTAATGGCCGCCCCGCACGCCCAACGGTCGCTCAACCGCCGCCCAGCGGCCGCCCTGCGCGCCCAACGGCCGTTCAACCGCCGCCCAACGGCCGCCCCGCGCGCCCAACGGCCCTTTAACGGCTGCCGCCGCGGCGCGCGCAGGGGCAGGCACGCCGCACGTCCCGTTTTCCCCCTTTACACCCCAAAACCAGCGTTGTGCCCGGGTGCCCCCCGCGCAGCCGTTAGCCCCGCGGGGCGCCAGCCCCTCACCGTGCGGCGCGGCGCCGCGGGGCCCGGCCATGCTCCGCCGCCGCCGCCGCCGGGGCCGCCTCGGCGGGACGCCCGCGGGCGCGCCATGGCAACCGGCCGGGCGGGCCGAGAGGCGGCGGCCGGGGCCGAGAGGCGGGCGCCGGGCGGGCCCGGGGCGCCGCGGTGCGCGAGGCGCGGAGCAGCCGAGCGGGCGGGTGGGAGGACCGCGCCCCGCGCTCGCCGCTGGGCCAGGGCTGCGGGCGGCCCCGGGCCCCTCGCGGGCGGCAGGGAGCGCAGCCCGCCCGCCGGCCTGCGGCGGCGCAGCGCGGAGGGAAGCGCTCGCCTCAAGGCCGTATCAACTCCACGGTGTGAGAGCCTGGGAGAAATAAACAGGGAAAAGGCACAAATGAGCTTTGGGTGTCATAATGATAAAGAAACCGCATTACAGATGCTCAAGAACACAACAAGTAGAGATTTTCCAGGAGCCAGTATTCTGCTGTTGGAAACCTGACATTGGCAGGAGAGGTCATTTTTAGCCGATATTTAACCTGGCTGTTGATAAAACTGGCTGTGAAACTTGGAATGTCAAAATCAATGGTTATAATGTATTTTGGAAGGATCAAGTGGACAGAAAGCACTTGATGAAGAAGGGCATTCCCTGTGCTGAGCTGATGGCAACGGGAAGCAGATGATGCTGAGTGTTCATGGGTCGGTGGCCTAGCGGATAAGCCAGGAGCTGACAGGGTGCTTGCCTGCTATCGAGTCACACTAGCGAGCAGCACGACCTGTGCCTCCCCCGTCTGCAGCATGGAGCGGAGATGGGGCTGCACGGAGGCGTCCTGCACGTGACTGACACGCCGCAGGTCCCGGCCTGCCAGTGTTAAAATGTCCTTGGGATCTGAAAATACCATAAAAGCAGATTTCCTCACTCAGAAAGGGTCGCATCAGCACAGAGGAATCCTGTATTAGACCTCATCCTGACAGATAAAAAGGAATTGATCACGGAACTAAGAATTAACCGCAGCTTAGGTATAAGTGATTGCGATTTGACCACATTTGTTATGTGCAAACAGAATTAAGTCCAGACCAGTATTATCTTTGCTTGGGGATTTCAAAGGACTAATTTTACAAAGGAAAAGTCATTTAATAGATAAATCAATTGGGAGAAAGAATTTAAACTGAAATGAGAGAATGATCATTGTAAATGCTTCAGAAATGCTGGCCTAGATATCCCCAAAGCCATAATTCCACAACTAATAAGGAAAACATTTGTGGAAAAGTCAGCGTGGCCTACAAGAAAAACACACATTATGTAGATGAGGGCATGTAGTATTATATGTAAAGCAGAACCCAGGTAGTATCAAAAATTACCATGGGAAGCACAAGATTATTAATTTTTATTAACGTAGAATTTTTAAAAGGATAGATAATTCCAATTAACATGGAATTCTGCTAATAAAAGGAGGCCCTGGCAAACGGATTTTGTTTTGTTAATGAAATTGCATGTTCCACATACTGATGCAATTTAATTATAGCAGAGTAAAGCATCTGCCTTATTATCATGCAGTTTTTTACATGAAGCACTGCAATTACACAACCATTTAGGTGTACTATACCTGAACTTACCAAGAAAACTTCCAAAAATTGATAAAGTTAAAAAGAAGATGGAAACTTAGCGGCAATTTTATGGAAAAATATCTTGAAAAAATTATCTTGAATACTTTATAAGCAGTCACTTTACACAATGGGTACACTTCTGCATTAAGCATATATAATTAATATGAAGCAAATTGAAACTTTTTTTATAGAGACATTTTACATGTTCAAAGGATCCCACATGCCAAAAAAATGTAACTTATAAAAGATACTCTTTTACAGAAAATCAAAGGCAGTCTGCATCTGTGTAGTAATATAAAGAGGCAGTAGCCTTTCTGTGGGTAAGGGTGAAATCAATTCTTATCACAAAGCCGGGTTATAGCACCATATGATTTCCCTAGAATTGTTTGGCCTAAAAGTTCCAAAGGAAAAAACTCTCTATTTATGAAGAAAAATATTGTGATTGCTGACATACTTTGCTGTTATCACTGGTTTTGGTTGCCTTCCACTTCTAGAAGCACTGACAGTATCCATGGAGCATTCTTAGGAGATGAACTTTACAAAAATTGTTTGTGTCCATAAAGAATTCACTTATTTACGCCAAGTTTTGTGTTCAGTTGTTGTCTTATCTAAGTATCTAATCTACAGATGCAAGAAGTGCAATATATCGATGGTCAGATGTAGCTGTCAGGCTTACGAAATGTGCCTGTGCAACTTTAATGGTTGGCTGAAAACGTTATTGTTAATATTCTGCCTATAAATAGATTGTTCTCCTCCCTGATAAAAGCAGGAATTAGCCATTTCACCAAATATTCTGTTTTATTGCAAGGAAGGATCTGTCAGACAGAATCGGGTGCATCGGGTGCTGCCTTTTTGACAGCATTAATGTATGCTTTGCATATAAAAGTTAATCTTTGTTATAAGATCCACCATTTTTAATTGTAGATACAATTGTAATACATACCCGATTTGCATGTTTTTTTTTTTCTTTACAGCAAACACCTATTTAGCTCTGAAAAAGTAGTATCATACTGACTAAAGATTTCTAATGTGGGACTTGCGTCCTGCTTCACCATCCTCAGTAATGTCTCTACCTCATGTATCTCCCTTTTTAGCTTTCTGTATGAATGATGAGGTGGAGAGAGCAGGACTGATGAAGATCAAACAACTTACAGAGTGGAAACTAGTAAAAACCCTCTAGTCTTGCTATTCATTATATACTTCCTATGCGTCACTATACTAGATTGTTGTCAAGTTCCACTGCTGGCATAATAGGCTCAAGAAAGAGCCAAGTATCTGTAGGGAAACTCATCTCCAAAACCTTTATTCTATTGTTCTTGTCATGTTTCATCTCACTGAAGCGTGTGGCTGGTATTTAGATGCAGGTGTTCCACAGTAATATAAGAGCAAAAGGATTAGATAAGCTTGCATTTTATTAGGCTTTCCACTTCTCTTTGCTTATGTCAGTTTAAACACCGTAATAGGAAACTAAACAAGATGGGATGGTGCTATGCTACTCTAACATGCTGCTGAGCATTTATTTACATAAATTGTTTTATTCATTTCAAATGAAACCCCCCATATGAGTAAAACTTAATCATGTAAGTAAAATTTCCCAATTTAGCACTAAGCAAACAGTTCTAAGAGCTGACAGTTAAGAAGATAAACATAATTTTGACTTGATAAAATAAGCTATGGTTATTTCAATAACAACCTAGTATTAAGTGTTGTGAAAGTGGGGAATGTGGCATGGGAATAATGGAGCCTAGGGAACATGCAAGAAAAGATGAGAGGAGTTTTTTTCCTCCTTTATTTTCACAAAAATAACATTCCCTCTGCCATTGATGTAAGGCTACAATGAGGAAAAATTCCTCCTCTTCCAAGCTCATTCTTCTGTGAGTTTAGAGTTTTATGTTATTAGAAAGAAGGTATAAATATTTATTTGTAGACCTTGTAGAAGGTCCAGAGATACCACACTTCAGTGTTAGGTCCATCACAGATTACTGCTCTAAACAAAACACACAAAAAAGTTGTGAAGTTAACTTTAGGAAGTCTAAATATGTGACTGATTTTAGAGAAGTAGCTTTAGGTTTCAAAAATGTCGGTCAAAATACAGCATCCTCCCAACTTCTAAGAGGGGAAAGTCTCCCTCCTGTTTTTTCCTCTCTTTTCCTCTGCCTTCCTTTCTCATCTCTCTCTCTCTCCTTCTCTGTTTTGGAAAATGTTTTGTAAAGTTCTCTTCAGTGGACGCAAGTCATATCAGTCAACGTCTTGATAAATACAGGAATCTCACAGGCAAACAATTTATTACAATAAGTTTTAATTTATCCTGTTTGCCTGAGTGCAGCTATTACTGCTCACAGACGTGGAGGCATGTGTCACCTACTGAAACCCTTGTAACCCAACTCACTCGCTTCAGCTTGTTTAGAAAACTTGTCTGGGAAGATTTACTTAAAAAGTTAATCACATATTCTCACTGACTCTGCTCATAAGTACATGTTCATCTTCATAACAGCATCTATGTGACATCTAGCCGAACATCATGAATTATGGGATAAAGGATAAATAACCTATTAAGAAATTAAAGGCCCGCAAAGGTGCAGTTTGGTAAAGGATAAAGAAGCCCCACAGGGTATGTATAATCAGATCTCTGTCCCCTGAAGAGTAATTGCTATCTTTCTTTCATGAGCGTCAAAGACCTGGAGCTTCTCAGTGCCTCAGGCAAGTAAGTTTGAAGGTCTCCTTCATGACTGAATGGAAGAGAGCAATCAGAATTTAGGTTGAGACTATTTATTCTATAGAACATTAAAAAACATGTTTTATGTTGGAGCTGATACCAACAGCCCTGTCATCATGGTTAGAAAATGTTACCTTTTTTTGT